TTCTAAAGCCTTATCTATTTCGTGGTGGTATGTTGGTATGTTGGCTTCCTGCTGCTTCTTCTCACCACTATCCAGAGTTGTCAGTGGAACTGATTGTGCCCCAGAGTCTCAGTATCTTTTCCACATGCAGCATTAAATGCCTATGCCGTTGTGAAGTAACACAGAAATGCCTCTTCCTCAATGGCTGAAACTAATTCAACTCACAGTTGCTGTGGTCTTTGTTTTGAGCATGAACTTTTGTCTGTCCGCCCTCCTCTCTGTACCTCCCCATCTGATCGAGTCCACAGTGCCGTCTCTCCTTCCCTCCCTCCTCTTGCACTCCCTGCATCCATCCCACTTTCTCTCCACCCACAAGGCTTATCAGACCCCTGCCTTTCTCCAACGACTCCTCTCAGCACACGCATTCCCCCTCACATATCCAGGACATGTTACACCCCCCTTTGCCCTGTCTCTGTTGCAGTGGGGGCTGGGTGTTGCGTATTGGGGGTCAGAGCGAGGCAGTTTGCCTGATAAGTTGAGATTTAGGAGAGCAGAAAATGAGGGGGAAGGGGAGCAGAGACAGACTTTTGTTAAGAGTAGTAGGGAAGAGGTACCATGGTGCTGAACACTTGATTTTGTTAGGTTTGGTCGTAAAAGAATCCAAAGGTGTTGCTAACAAATAGAATGGTATTATTGCATGACATAATAACATTTCTCCATGATTTTCTGTGAATGTTTCATCAGACTTCATCAGGAACATTTTGTTTTTAATATTGATATGGGATTTATTTTTCTCTAGGCTGCATTTGACTTGTACTTTATGGACATCCCGGGGTTTTAGAACGATCAAAACCGGGCTTACTTATCCCATTTCGGGGTGTGTGCGTTGAACTGAAAGGGCCTCACTTAATGATGTATAAAGAAGTGGAAACAGTATTTCTTGAAGGACATTGCCTCTGAACGCTAAGACACCATGCTGCTCTAAAACGTCCTGCTGTAAGGACTTGACAAGGCTAAACCTTTGAAGCATAAACTAACAGCATCCATGTAGCTTTAGTAAAAGGGATGTGTAGTTAAGATGAATTAGTTGAATAACACTGTAAAAACAGATTAGGTTAATGTCTTGCTGAAATTGACTGAAGTTGTCAGAAACTTCTTAAGTAGTGGTTTGGAAGCATAGTCTGTGGAGGCGAAGCACTCATTTGTAATTTTTGAGGTTTAGATGGTGATTTGTTATAGCAGAGGTCAAACTTCGGGTATGCAGTAGTTGCATGATGTAAAGATAGGAGCCATGCAACAGACGTCGGTCTGCACTGTTTACAATGTATGATGAAATATACTATCAGGAGATGTTTTTAGATTAAAGCTTGGATTCTCTGGGATACAGAAGTAGAAAAGGAGGATGAAGTAAAAACTACAAAGATATCGAGGAAGCCGGTAATCAGTTAAATGATAAAAGATCAGAGCTCAAGCTAAATAATTAGTGTTGTCTGATCCTGATATTCTACCCTGTGAGATTGCAATGTTTGTTTACTTCCAGTCCGCTGGTCCCCATGCTGTCCTTGTTTCCCCTCCGTGTGGGTGTCCGTGTAGAAACTATTAAGAGATTTATGTTTATTCATGCTCCTGCAACAAAACATAGGTCTGAAATAGCAGGATTTCACAGGCAGCATGACGGTTGGTAAAGGTGAGGAACCCATTGACATTAGTTTGTGGACTCGTCTTTCAGTAGATCATACTTTATCATTTCATTGTTGGCATTGCAGTCTTTAATTGGTATTGCCGATGTCACTGCTGGTAGAGGAGTTCACATGGGATCCCTTTGGTGAACGTTTCATTAGAGATGAAATAGTTAATACATAATCTTTCCTATCAAGCTCAACAAGAGCAGCATGAAAGACCTTCAAAGTTTTGTCCATCATTATCGCATGTGGTGTTGATTGGACCGCTAAAATATTTAGTCATTTGCGGAGGGAAGAGCATTCATCCTCTCATCATCACCTGACTGCAAAGGGGTGGACCAAAGGACGGACGGAGTGGTTTTCCTGTGTTGTTTGAAGCAGGATTTCCTTCAGTCTGTCGAATAATGCTCTGTCCCTCTGCCTGCCCCGTGGCCCCTAACTTGACCTGAGGACACAGTGACCTGCCAATGCTTTGTCACACCGTCTGGGAACACTGAGTATTATTCCGTCAGGTTTCATACCGGAACACATTACTAGTTTACGTTACTGAAAAGAATACATTGGTTCTCTGCTTTTTGTGTATGAAGTGTAAAGGTGTTGTTTGACTCCCTAATGAATTATCAATGAGGAAACCAAAGTCCGAGCAGTCTTGTTACTGCTGCCTGCTATTTCCTGCTCTACAATCTCCTTCCTTAGTTTACTCTGGATCCCGATGTCTAAATGGAAACTTTTATATGGACTTCAGCCGTCTATTTTTTCACACGCATTGCTAACAATAGGAAGCTCAAGTTTGGGACGCAAATGACAAAGCTGTGACAAATGTTTGGCACAGCTAAGGGATATGACTTGTTATTGTAGGAGTGGAGTTTTAAGGGGCTTAAGATGGGCTTCCGAAGGTGAGAGGGGATGTGTAGTAAAAAAAAAAGAATTGCTCCTTTTGGAATGTATAGAGAACGCAGAAATTGACAGTTGACACTTTGAGTGTTAAGCCTTGTAGTCTATTTCAGTCCATAACAATTTTGTCACTATTTTAAGGTAAAGCTAGGAGTTGGAAGTATTTCAGACAAGAGGCTCTACTTTGAGTGAAAATATGATATGAGGTATAGGGTTCTAATAGGGGTGGACGATATGGCAATACAGTGAGACAAATAAGTTCATCAACTGTCAAAGATTTCGCCATGCTGTTTATACTGTGGTAAGCTGTCCTTGTAATGTCTCCTGGTTTTTCAGTTTTGTTTTATGCCAATATAAAATGTTCGCATAATTTTTGCCTCAATCCGATGGGGTACTTTGATGTGTCAGGTATGTATTGTAATTCAGTGGTTTAGCCCAAACCAGATATTCCTATTTGGGTAGTTTATCCATACACAATTTACATTTTTTTCAGAAAAACATTATCACAATACATAATATTGTGATAGACAATTGCATATTAAGATAGAGAATTGTATGCATATTGTGCACCCCTAGGTCCTAAACGCTATCAGATGAGGGCTTTTATTTTGCACTGGATTTATGGTGTGATGATTTGTGGTGCTTTTTGAGTATGATCAAATTATCTGTTGACCATGGTATATGCAGGAATTTTATAATTTAATTCAAGAACTTTAAATACCCTTTTGTGGACCCTTTAATATATTTATAAGACCCCATGTCACTTCAAATTCTGATCAGTTACATCAGTGACACACATAAGCTGACATTCACTATATATGTATTATGAGATCGCACTACAACACTAGTTTGCAATAACTCCTTTGGTCAATATATCAATGAAACAACATAGATAGACTGGTGGAATGAAGTACAAGACGATGAATTGAGTGACTAACCCAATGCTAGGTTTATTACGAGTATGGATACATTCTTTGTTATTGAATTTGTATGTATGTTATGACACAATTGAAGGGATTTGAGGTCAAGAATTTCACGACATGTACTTGTATGACTAGTATTTGACCAATATAATGTGATGAGCTTAAGAAGGGTGATCTTACGTAGAAGCGCCTGCTTAACAAACATTGGGGTTTCTCCAAACCGACAAACGGTCATAGTATAGCATGTCGAAAGCGGTCATAGTATAGCATGTCGAAAGCGGTCATAGTATAGCATGTCGAAAACAAAGTCTCATAGTATAGCATGTCGAAAACGGTCATAGTATGTAGAAATAAATGCATAAAAAGTCATAGTGTAGTATGTCGAGGAACTTGAATGTCGAAACAAGGTCATACAACAAAAGGACCATAAACAACTTTTTTTCATTTATTTGAAAGATTTGTCATTTCCCTCAATCGTTTTTATTATGGATACAATTAAAGTCAGAAAGAGCTGGAGAGACGAAACACTTTTTACATTCGTCACGTGAGTCTAATAAATTAATTTCAGTGTTCAAAGGAAACCATAATCATATTCTGGGTTATTTAATGACTTCACAATTACAATATCAAAACATACAGATCCTGTGCTTAAAAGAGGTACACAGAGCACAGTAATTGCAGATTTTTTTTAAACCGCTAAAAGAGAGACCACATCTCACACCCTCTCTCCTCTCCTCTCCTCTCTCCACAGTGATTGTGTCTTTGTTAGTATTTGTACAGTGATCATGTGTACGGACACAAACTCCGTCAAAATACTGAGCTGATAAAGCCGACTTACAGTTGATCCGCCTTCTTCATAAACAGACGTAGCTTGATGAGATGCTCCTCGCATGGTTTCCTTGCGTCTCTCCATGAGGCACTAAGTGAAAACGAGGATGCAATTAAGAGACTTGGGATGTACCTATAGTATAGCATGTCATAGAAATTCATAGTACTACATTATTTCGGAATAAGTCATAGTACGGTAACATAACAGACCGTTAATATATTGCAATTCATGCTGCTCAGAAAAATGTCAGTGACCGTATCGCAGCACTGAAAACCTAACGATAACAAGGTTGCATTGACGGAGATGTTTTCACAGCAATATATAGATATTAGAGAAGATTATGATAGGAATTAGAATTGAATTGTGTTTTCTGCAAACAATAACAGAGTTTTTGACGGTTTACATTAACTTCTGGATATGCTGTGACATTGCCATACATACGTGCCTTATTCCTTCAGAAGCATTTATATTGACACTTTAGGAGAAAGGAATATAATGTGCTATACATTTCAGGCCATACTGCCCAGCCCTATATTAAATATAATGAGAGGTTGAATACCTGTTAACACTTTAAAGTATAGCAGCAATAGTGTCATCAAAAAATGTCTATTGGTGTCTTATGAGGAACAACACTGACTCTGGAGTTGTCACCAAGCAAGTTGATTGGAAAAGAATCAGATGTTTACCAGTCTCTTTTGGATTTATCAAAAAGTTTTTATTATTAATAGTAATATCACACAAATTCACAAAGTGTTTAAGACGTCTGGCTCAGTTTGGTGTGTGTGTATGTGTGTCTGCAAGTATGTCTGTGTGAATTCTCTAAACAGTGCAGTTATAAATAAAAGACCACAAAGAGAAGAAAAGGGATACGGTAATATTGCAACAGGAAAAATAGAATTCTCATTTTAAGAAGATAAAGAGAAGTTGTTCAAAGAGAACATTTAGCACCATCTATCCCATTATCATATTCAACAGGTATCATAAAATCATTAAAATCTCATCTAAAAGCCCCTACGTAATAAAAAAAATGACCATTTCTCAAAACACTTAATGAGCATACAAACACAGCATTCCATTAGTCATCTTCCCTACGTGAGCAGTGTGCCTATTGTCTACAGGAAATGTGGTGTTATATTCAAGATAAAGATATCATTTAATATATATCAGAAGAAAAAGGCAGGAGAGGCAAGCACCAGAGAAACAGCAGCCTCTACTCCCGTGGACACACAACCCCACATTTCAGTTCTTATGGAGCAATCGCTTACTATAAAAAAAATAAAGAGGGAAACAAAATCGCAAACTTGTACAACCCTTTTAAAAAAAGGGAGACCATTGATATCCAATAAATAGAAGAAACATTTTAAATTAAATGTACAATGCAAAAAAAAAAAAAATCCATGAAATACTAAGTCTGCATATTGGAACAAAACAATCAGAGGTACAACACACAAACACCAGATGGCAATGATTTTTTTCTTTTTTTTAAAGAGATGGAAGAAATAAACAAAAAGACCTGATGCGTGACAACTTATTATTCGCCAGAGGAAATTAAAGTATAATTCATACAAACAAGATTTACAACACATACAAGAATTTGAAAGACAAAATGAAATCTCCCCCAAAACAACCAAAGTCCTTAAAACCCGTATGTTTTGAAGCATTCCAAACATTTGTATTTTTTAAAATTCTTAATGCTCTAGAAAAATGTTCTCTATTATTAGTATTTTTCATTTTGTCTCTTTTCTAAATACAAGGCCAATGTGGTATATATCTAGGTTGATCTAGTTTAGAAAAAACAAATCAATAAATTATTTTTAAAAAAAGACAGCACCCCACAAAAATTGCAAACAGCATGTACAAATCTCAGTATTCAAGACGACAACAGGAAACAGCTGAAGTTCTCTGGTATTGACACAAACACCATGGGAACCATCGTGTACCCTCTGCAGTTTGTTCAATGGCAGCACCAGCTGCCCCCTTGTGGGTGCCTGGTTAAAAGCACCATCTGAGAGTAAACTGGTATTTTATTGGCGGCTTGGTATTTCTTTTTGTAAACAGTAATGGTGAGTAAACGTATTCAACTGGCTGTTCGGCAAGTGTTCGCAGTAGTAGCAAAAATGATTTTAAATAATGAAACATTAAGTTGAAAACCAAAGTGAAACTGTGTCTTTTGTCCTGGCTTGCAGGAGTTTTGGTTATGGCTGAGGAGACGCAGGAGGGGAGCTCTGTCACCGGGAGGAGGCCTGGTGAGACACAAAACAGAGACCAAGTCAGAAAGGAGTGACAAAAGACGTCAGGAGCATTGAACAGAGGCACGCGTCTGCTTACCAGATTGAATGAGTCGTATGTGTTCATGAGCTCCTCTGTGCGGTACTGCTCCAGCACCACTACGTTCGTCAGGTTGGGGCTCCGCTGACGTGCGCAGTCCTCACAGTGAACCACATATGTCTTCCTGCTGTTGCTCTCACTTGTCACAAACAACAAATTGAACACCTCCAGCTGTAGAAGAGATAATAGGTTAGGAAACATTCCCGGTGATTATGCTCATCATCAGCTTGGTCATGCTGAAATAGTTTGTCACTTGGAACCGTTTGCCATTATTGCTAGAAAGTGACTTTAATATGTACACCAAGGTTATGTAGTCTAGAACAACAGCCTTGCATTCTGAAAGGAAGTCAAAAGAACCTCCTTTCAATCACTTCTCACCCTTTACATAAGAGTTAGTGAAACAAACCTCAGATATATAGCTGATAGAGCCAACATATAAAATACCTTGCTTAGTTGAGACCTTTAGGTGTTTCTAATACTTTAGAGTAGACTAAATATCCAAAACCTACAGCCTCCAAAATGTTTAATAACCTCTGTGGTCATGAAGGTAGAATTCATAGCAGGCTTATTAAACTGCATTAGTTTAGCTAGATGTATCTAATAAACTGGCAAGTGACTGTGATAAACAGACTAGTAGCCACTCACGTCACACTCGTTGCAGTAGTAGGCAGGCTCCTCCTTGACCCGACTCTGATAAGATAACTTCTTCCCGTCAGCCACCAGTTGGTCCCGCAGAATCTGGATGTGCTTCATGGACTGCAGCAGGCAGTGTCTGGCGAAGGGTAAGAATACAAACAAATGTTTAAATCTTTTTTCATACAGCTTAGCGTATGTATCATTTTCAAATGGTACTACTTCAATCAAGGTTGTAATGTTGATTGTGAAGTGGTGCATCTTCTTAAACATTTACTAAAAATGATAACCTTTATGAAGCGAGATGTATTGCAGGGCTGTTCATTGGTTAGGTAGGTGTAACTAAGTACAGTTCATATGTACTCACTTGACCAGCTTGAAGGTGTCTGGGTCAGTGATCTTGACAGTGCGGGCTGCGTTCCAGGACACGTGAATCATGGGGACAATGGACTTCACCTTCTTCACTTCGTTCCACTCAAACCTCTCAAGGGCCAGCTGGTACTGGTAAGCTGCAGATACACGTGAAACAATGTTTTACAAAATACTCTCGCTATTGTTGAAGTAGTCTGTATTTGGTCACCAGATGGTGCACTCCTTACCATTGAGAGGGCCGACATTCCATGCGATGTTGTTGCACCAGCCAACGGCCTGAACCCAGTGAACAGTTCCAGCGTTGATCCACACCAAATCTCCAGGCCGCTGGATGAAGCGGTACACTGGGATGTTTGATTTGTAGAGGTCCTCCAACACTGGCCACCAGGACCCTGTCAGGTAGTCCACTCCATGCCTGAGCACATAAGTGGAAAAAGGTATGTTGAATCAGAATCAGCTTTATTGGCCATGTATGCGTGCGCATACATGGAATTAGACGGTTACACATTGTTCTCACACACACACACAATAAACATTAAGGACAAAGTAGAACAGAGAAACTAAGCATAAACATTTAACGTTTAAGTACTATGTACAATGTAAATATGAGCGCGAAGATGCAATATGTCTGATTAATTGTTCATCAGAGTGACAGCCAGCAGAAAGAAGCTGTTCCTGTGTCTGGTGGTTTTGGCGTACAGTGCTCTGTAGCGCCTACCAGAGGGGAGGAGTTGGAACAGCTTGTGTCCAGGGTGTGAAGGGTCTGCAGTGATCTTTCCAGCATGTTTCCTGACTCTGGAGGTGTACAAGTCCAGGATGGAACCAATGATTGTCTCTGCTGACAATCCGTTGTAGTCTGTTTGATCTAACAGGTTGTTCTAACCACACCAGAGGACCAGCTGTTCAACTTCCCTTCTGTACGCAGACTCATCACCGATGAGGCCGATGACCGTTGTGTCGTCTGCAAACTTCAGGAGTTTAACAGACGGGTCCTCTGAGGTGCAGCCGTTGGTGTAGAGGGAGAGGAGCAGTGGGGAGAGCACACATCCCTGGGGGGCGCTAGTGCTGAGATCTTTCCCGGCCTCACCTGCTGCGTCCTGTCTGTCAGGAAGTTTGTGATCTGCTGGCACAGTGAGCTGGCAGAGTTTGAGTTTGAGTATTTCCGGGATGATGGTGTTGAACGCTGAGCTGAAGTCCACAAACAGAACCCTTGCATATGTCCCTGGCGAGTCGAGGTGTTGCAGCATGTAGTGCAGTCCCATGTTGACTGCATCATCCACCGACCTGTTTGCCCGGTAGGAAAACTGCAGGGGGGGCCCTGTGTTGATTGTGGAGCGTTTCAAGCACGAGGGGACTTCACACAGCTCCAGTGATCGGTTGAAGATCTCTGTGAAGATGGGGGCCAGAACAGACTTTCAGGCAGGAGGGGAGGACACGATCTGGGCCCGGAGCCTTCCTGATCCTGTCTGTGAAAGAGCCGACCCACATCCTCTTCACAGATCCTCAGTGCCGGTGGGGGATCTGTTGGGCAGTGATCATCAACTGGTGGCACGCCACAACGTCCCAGCCAGAAATTCAAGAGGGGGAATTTTATCACCTGTAGTTGACTTGGCATGTTAGCCAGGTTAGTCAAGCTCAACTGACAACCATCATCTGTAGATGAACTTCAAACAGCATCATCCAAATATGTTGATAAGTGGAGCAAAACCAAAACAGACTACATGGCAAATCCGTCTCACCACAGCCTTCAGGCAGCCTCCCACTGCACATTCAGACTAAAGGACTGCAGTTAGTGTCTACTCACTTTTCACAGAAGTCACTGATGGCGTGCCAGTAGTTCTCATGGACGGAGAACCACTCACAGTCTCCAGGGCCAATGTTGATGTTCACCGAGCAAAAGTTATTGTTCTCCTGGTGACCTGTTGATTAAGGAAAGAATATTCTCACATATAAAGGTGTTTCAAACTGTGTTTAACTAAAGGTGTCTTCCACCTGTTTCAGACATTACCTGGCGTTCGGCTCCCTGGAACTTTCATGTAGAGCTGGACAGTGTTCATGCCTAGGATGGTGTGTCCAACATGACTCAGCATGTTTCCACTGGATGCCACACGCATAAACGCCGGCAGCTTCTGCAACTCCTGAAGCTGGGACTTCCACCTAAGCAAAGACGTCAACTTGTATCTTTAGTAACGTAGCATTAATATGCATGTATAAACAGATGTAGTACAAAGGAGCTGTGCTTGCTATGATCATGCTGCTGTATTGACACTTGAATACTACAATACTTTGTCACATAAATTGCTATTGTCTCAGGATGATCTATTAAAGTTGCTCACCTCTTGGGATCGGAGAGGTCAATGTTGGTGCCAAACTTAATTATCTTCCCCACTTGTTTCTGCTCACCACTGAGGAAAGGAAAACATTAGTATTATTAAGTGTTACTAACAATTGCATAACACAATCAGTGAACTTTGCACAACATCCTTACCTGCTACTTTCTTTAGAGCTGTCCTTGCTTGGAGTGTCCAAACTGTTTGAGGGCTTCTTCTCCTTCTCATCTTCATCGTCCTCATCATCGCTGCCTTTCTCCTCCTGGAGACACAAATCACATGTTTATCAGCTTTATCACAGCACATAAGAAACCATTAAACAAAATGTTCAGTGTACGGGTAGGAGAAGTACTAACAGTATCACTATTAGTGGCAGGGATAGTAGAACATAATTTACCTGCAGGCTCTCTTGGAAGCTGGAGGCCTGGTACTGGGCATACTTGGCAATGGTGGTGTGGGATCGACTGCTCTCACAGGGCCATGTCTGGCCGGTCCCGCTGGAGTCCCAGTTCTCATCAGCAGGCTGCTGTACCTGAGTCCTCACCTCCACCGCCTGCTCTGCATTAGCTTCCACAAGTGACTTTGTAGAAAACAGCCCCAGGTCTAAAAACAAGGATACATTGACGTTACAACCAATCGATGCAGATTAATAGTATATTGTTTGCAACTAATGGGTCCACATTTTAAGCAAGGCTATTTTAAGTAGCAAGATGCTTAGAGGCCAATTAATGCTCATTTTCAGGTTCACTCCTTAATGTTCAGAAACCCATTATTCTCATATTTTCTGTCTCTTTAAGCCCCCCCTCCCATGGGTTTTTGCATGTAAATAAATGTAATGCATTAACATACTGAGTCGTAGAGATCCAGCCAGGCCTCTGATGACAGTAACAGGGTTCTTGGGGTCTGTACAAAACTGCAGCAGCACAGGGGAGAAGGCATCCCTCTTACTCTCCAACTACAGAGAAGAAGAATTACGTCAATACACAGAAACCAAAACTGCTGAAGTCAATGTCTTCATGCACAACACATCACAAGAGTGCAGCACATGCATGTTTTTTACTGTGTGTTATAATGGATAAAATGTCAAATGAAAGACTGAAAGAAAGCTATTATACAGTATGTATGAAATATAGTGACGTACATAGATGCTGGGTGTAGGAGGGTTCAGTTTCTCTCTGGGAATGGGTTCATCTGAGGTCATGATGGGCTTGACAGAGAAGGCTGGGAGCAAGTAAGATTCTCTGAACTTCCCTTTTACTCTGGCCCCCCTACAACAGAAAAAACACAACATGTTGACAGGCGCAAACAAAAATAAACAAAACACAGGTTTCTAGTCCTGTGCGCGTGCTACCTGATGCAGTGGCGGGCCATGCATTTTATACCTGGGCCTTCACTGCTGTCCTGTAGTTGAAATACCATCTTATAACCTCATGATGGCGCCACGGCTATTATTAGTTTCTAGGGCTGTAACAATACACGTATTCGTATTAAACTGTTCGGTACGAGGCTTACAGACAGAGCAATACGTTTGAATAATACTAGTGCATTTGGAAAATGCAGAAGCTTAAATTGTGGGAAATATAATGTTTTCTGCGCTCACGTAGGAGACAACGGTCAGTGTGACCTCTGAACCGGAACAAAGAAAACAAAAAACAAAAACAGCTGGGGAAAACAACAGCAGCAACACGCATTCTGCTACACACTCGAGGGCACGAGCCGTTCAGATATTAGATGTAAAAAAACAAACGCAGTTGACTTACCAAATGCTGTTCACTTAAAGACAAACTCCAAACTTCCATATCTTTCAATTTGAACTCTCACTACTCCGACTAAGCCTCTGCTGTTAAGTTTCGTTTCACGATAAGTCATGTGCTCGCCCACTGACCAATCACAGCACACGCTGCACCTCACTGCAGAGCTGCACATGGAAACTGAGCTGCACGTAATGCTGACGTAATTGTAGGCCAGCTAGCAGGCTCTGGCACGTCAAAGAATACGCCCAACATGTCAAACTAAAGATCTGATTGGTTGAAGACTATGACAATCAACAATATCGTCCCCATTCACTTAAACTGCACATGGATTCACTTGTGAGTCTGCAGGCCTGGGCCTCTGTTCTTACCTAGAGACAGAGGTGAAATCTGATGGATAAAAGCTCTACTTAAAACAAGCTGCACTGGAAGCAGAGCAACTGAGGAAGACAGTAGCTGTGCAATGAGAAAATAAGATAATGGGAAAAATATTAAATTATAAAATAGCTATAACTTTGTGATTCTGTTTAGGCCAGCAGAGAAGGCCCTGAAGGCCCACCACTGACCTGATGGGTAATTATCCTTTGCTCAACACAAATATACTACTCTAACCTGTTCATAGAAATATGATATATGCCTAAAAAAGGCTACTGAAATTTCATATCAAGTATTTTTAGGACAGCCTTCCTCCACAGTGCACTTACTTGCAGGACCTGATGATTTCACTGGCAGAGTTCTTAATGGTGATGTCCTCCAGTGGGATCCTCTTTTCCTCCACCTCAGAGGCAATGAAGGTCTCCCTGTCCCCGCTCTCCACTTTGATCAGGCGAATCTTCAGCTCTTTGGGGGGCCCATCTGACAGCGCTTTCAGTTTCAAGAAGTCCGTTGAACCCAGCGAAGAACCAGATTCAGAGTCTTTTTTGTCCTCGGAAGATCTTTCTCCCGAACTTCTCGAGGTCCATTCTGCCTGCTCCCCTTCGCTGGTGGAGCTGGCACCGGACGCTTCCTTATGTTTCGTTTTTTCTGCGTCATAATGACCCCGATTCTTCTCAGACCCCTCCTTGCTCTGGAGGTTGAGGTCACCGAGAATTCTGCGATCTTTCTTTTCCTTGTGCCGCCTGTGGCTGGAGCTGGAATGAGTGGAAGAAGATGATGATGATGATGATGAAGAGCAGAAGGTCATCTCCTCTCTCTTTTCTCTATGCTTCTTCTTCTCTGTCCTGTCTTCGTGCTTCCTGCTGCTGTGACCATGCTTCCTCGTCTTATCTTTCTCTCTGTGTTCCTTTACCTTCTCAGGTTTGTGTCTGTCTTTCAGTTTGACATGGCCATCGGGTTTATCAAGCGGGTTATGGCTAGGAAGGGACTGTCTACTAAGCATGTCCTCGCAGCTTTTGCCTAATTCTGCCAGAGAAGACGCAGAGATAGTCGTCAACAGCTGCTCCTCTTTGATCTCCTTAATGGGTTTTAAGGTAGAAATACTCCTCTTTTGGGTAGAGTGTATTCTGTCCTCTGTTGTCTCTCCATCATCTCTCCAGTCATGAGCGTCCTCTATTTTCAGTTTTTTGTCTTCTAGAAGAGGAGGGGAGGACTTTAGGGATGGGAAAGCTGGGCTAAACGGTGGATTAGTAGAATCTGACGTCGGTGAACTGCCTTGCTGCTGGCGGCAGATATCGGGGCCCAGTGACAGCGATGAGGAATATTTGACCCCAAGCAGAGCTGATGGAGGGGGTCTCCCAAAAGGTCCACCGCGGTAAGCATACTTCTGGCTCTCTTGGACTGTTGCCAGGGACTTGAACATGCTGTTTACACCCGTTTGGTGGAGGTGGGGTCTTTGGGGTGGTGGAGAACAAGACGGTGTCTCAGAGTCCTCGTCATCTTCCTCCTCATCAACCTCACTTTTCGTCTGCTCGGGGAGGCCATAAAGTTTAGCCAAGTCGCTGTGGCGGTAATTGGTGTTCCCCACTCCCATGTCCATTGACCGTTTGGGGATCAGAGGGACATTTGAAGAAGGTTTAAAGTAGTCCTCATCCTCCTCATTGAGAGATGATGTTCGGCTGCAAGGGGATGCCAGGGAGCCTTGGCGACTGAGCACAGGAGGGCTAGCGTGCGGAGTGGATCCAAAGTCTTCCTGGTTGGGCTGATGCTTCATTGCTGGAATCAGGTCTGGGGCACTCAGGTAGCTCTTGATAGGCTGAACACAAGGAGTAAAGTTGTCAAGGAGACCTGTGGACCCAGCCTTTTCACTGTTATACATCTCCTCTTCCTTTTTAATGGACTCATCCAGCATAGCCATAATGTTAGCCAGACCATCGGGGAGCAGTGTGGATAACTCAGATGGCTCTTCCTCAAATTGGGCAGATTCAGCAGTGCAGCTACTGGCATTTTCCAAACCACTTCCTGTCATCTGCTGGTTTAGGATTCCCCTCATAGAGCTGGAGGATAATGGTGGTGTTGGGTTTTCTCTGGGAAAAGCCTGATACAGTTTGGGAGGCTCTCTAAGTGCCAAGGTGGGGAGAGAGTGTTTGCTGCTGTCTCTCTCCCTGGCTGAGTCTTTGGATAGGTTGGGTGCGGCTTGCATTGCCGGGGGCTTGTTGGGGTATACCGACTGGTTCATCCCTGAGGTATTGTGTGTTGATGAGGGGCTGAATGTCGTTCCGCCACTGTTGCTCCACATCTCCCTCTGCCTCTGCTTTTCTCTGGCATACTCTGTTTGAGGTGTAAGAGGGGGCGGCCGCAGCCTTTCTACAGGAGTAATGGTGGTGGTTGTCTGGCCTGGTGGACAGGGGAGTATGCCACCACGGCTGAGCCAGGGGTAAGGGGGTGAAGCCTGGGAGCAGGGGGGCAATGGACCTGAAGAAGGTGCAGTAACAGAAGAAAGGCGAGGAGGTGGGGGTGTTGGGGAAGTGTTGCAGGAGAACAGTCTCTCCAGATTTTCAATAGCGGTCTGCTCTTTGCCTTTTGCACTGCATAGTTCCTTCTCCCTCCTCTGTTCCATTCTCCTTTTCTCCTCCTCTTTCCTCTCCAACTCTTGTTTTTTCTTTTCCTCTTCCTGCCGCTCCAGTTCCCTCTTCTTTATCTCCTGCCTCTCTGCTTCTCTCTTCTTCCTCTCCTCTTCTTGCCACTCCCTCCTCTTCCTTTCCCGCTCCTTTTTCTCCCATTCTCTCTTTTTCCTCTCCTCTTCCTGCCTCTCCCATTCTCTCCTTTTCCTCTCCTCCTCCAGCCGCTCTGCTTCTCTCCTCCTCCTTTCCTCTTCTTGCCTCCTCTTTCTCTCCTGCTCCTGCCTCTCCCATTCTCTCCTTCTCCTCTCCTCCTCCTGTCTATCCAGTTCCCTCTTCTTCCTCTCCTCCTCCTTCTCCAGCTCCTTCCTCTTTCTCTCCTCGTCCCGCTTTTGTCTCATCTCCCATTCTTTTTTCCGCCTCTCTTGCTCCTCTCTGTCCCTTTTTCTCCTTTCCTCAGCTTGCATGTGACCCTCTAGCTCTGCATCGAGCTTGTCTAGAGCCTCTTCGATGGACTGAGGGACAGAGGTCGGAGCTGGTGGACGAATCTGGGGCTGAGAGTACGCCTGTGTCGAGGCAAACTCTGACTGACCCAGTCTGGAGGAGAGGGCTGGATGGGACGGCTGAGGTGCAGTGTTGGCAGTGGAGCGTGGAGCTGATTGGTATTTAATAGGAGAACCAGGAAGAGGATTTGAAACTCTACTTGTAATCACACTGTCCCCTACCCTCTGGTGCCGTGAGGAGAACAAAGAAGATGATGAGGAAAATGCAGGGGGTTGCTCTATTTCACCCTGAGCATAGCAGGACACCTTCCCCTTTATAGGGCGGGACTTGGTGGGTTCCTGTTGGTGTGGTCTGGGCAGCCCCTGCTGATTGGCAGGGGCAGTTTGGCCTCTCTGACATCCTGGCTGCAGCAGAGCATCCAGCTGAGAGGCGGTGCTAGTGACACCACGGGTGGAGGTTTGGGGTACAGATTCTCTTCCTCTCTGCCAACTGCTGTTACTGCTGCCATTGTTCACTGAGCAACCAGCAGGGGGCGATGTGGGCACCCTGGACACACCAGCCATAGTTACACTACTAGATATCCTGCTGTTGCTATAGCCACTGGTGGGGCAAGAGCTCTGGGATATGGGAAGATTGGCAGTGATGACAGGTGTTCGAGTTGAGTTGGTTGGGGGCAGAAGAGGGCTGACATGATGGTGATGCTGGGAAGGACCAGGAACACGACTATCCACGACGTGATTGTGGCTCTGCTGGCGCTGAGGTAGCAGCCCTGGAGGCCTGTAAATGCCCGACTCCTAAAGAGACACATACGAAACAGTTTTTAATTAATACTTTTACTAATAATTACTCTCGTAACGGTATCTGGGTTAACTGACCATGGCACTCATAACTGTAGAAGAACAAAATGATACAGCATGAATTACTTATACTCACTGCAGAGTGACTGCTGGGCCTGCTCTGGTATCTCCAGGCTTCATGGAGCCCACTTTGCAAATGCTGAGGTACTGAGGTGCTGCTGGCAGGAGGAGGTGGAGGAGGAGGTGGAGGACCCTTGTGCCCCAGCCCTGGATGAGGCTGGAAGTGGCTGTAAGGCACACTGCTGCTGCTGCTGTTGTTGCTGGTTGCAGGAGGGTTTGCTGGTGACGATTGGGCATGCAAGTGTTGTTCTCTGTCTCCCCTGGTTGGGGTTGATGCCGTGTGAGAGGTAGCTTGGCTGCCACCTTGGATCCTAAAAGGAGGGCCTCTCTGGTTGTGAGGACCACGAGGCTCCATGGCCTGGCAGGGTGGAGCTTGCCCTAGCTTGGAGCTGGGACTGGGGTAGGACGAGGGAGGGGACTGCTGGTTTACAGCCTGAGGTTGGAATGCATCTTTCTGGAGCTGAGGAGCACATCCGTGGTTGTAGCCTCCCGGGGAGGAGTTTGGTGGAGGGGAGAGGTTTAAAGGGGTGGAGGAGGCAGGAGCGGACTTTTGGCCATAGTTACCCATTCCTTGTTTGTTGGATTCCTGTTAAACAAAAAAAGCAACAGAGGAAGATAAAGAGTACTATAAAACCAACAGGATCTGATCAATTTTGGGCATGGTGTATTTTACAGCACAGCAAACAATACTCTTTGTTAGGTTCAGACAGCTAATAGAATCAATACACCTTTATGACACCATTCAATGCAATACAGGTTTCCCCAGTGATTAAGGTCAATAGAAAAAGATGAACCCCTGGCTTCAAGAGCCATATATGTAATGAAGGGATATGTTCTTACTGTTCGGAGCTGGAACTCCTGCGATTGTGGGTTGGTGCGGTCAGAAGTCTGTGGCTGCCAAGGAGTGCTGTTCTTGTGAAGGGGGTTCCAGAAGGCAGCTTTTGGAGGGAGGTGGTGCATTGATGACTGATGCTGAGATAGCAAAGACTGGCCAGGGAAACGATGCAGACCAGGATGGGATATCTGCCCAGGGAGTGAGACATTACAATATTTAACACTCAAAGGCATGACTAACAAGGACAAACAAACTGTAGAAAAAATGTATAGTTGAGGTTATAAATTCCCACTCAGTGTGGCTGTTTTAGTGTAGCAGAAAAAAAGTTAGTTTGTTCCATTCTGATACCTGATCTGAACTCTTTTTCCTCTTGCTGGGGCTGGGACAGTCCTCTACAGCTGGGCGGGAGGATGGGTGCATGGATGGTGGAGGAGTGTGCTGGATGACGGAGTGCTCTCCCAGTGGAGGGCCTGGTCTCTTTAGCTGACCCCCTACCATCTTCCCTGGGTAGCCCCTCTGCTGTAAACAGAGAAATGAAAGGGTCAGTTCAAAAACAGTCCATTGCTGAAATATTTAGCCGAATGTCAGTGACAGAGGGTCTGTCTGGTTGCAGCAGAAATGACAGCCAGAACAGAGATTGTTCTATCTCTAAATGGATGATGAAACATGATCACAGCCAATTAGAGAGCTCCTACCTGGTGCACCTGAGCCCACAACTCATCTCCCAGCAGTGGTGGACCCCGGGGAACATGCTGCTCTTGGGGACCCCCAAACTAAATCAGACAGTAATGACAGCACACAAAGTGTGATCAGAGCCATTTTCATCTTTTTTTTTTATTCACCCGTGAAAAACTGGTACATAAATCCACTATTGTATCACCTGTAGCATTGTCACTCACCTTCAGCAGTTGGTTTGGTCTGATGGGGGGAAGATGGGGGTTGGGGGGAGGGCCGCCGCTTCCTGCATAGCCTCCATTATGGAGACGAAGTGAGTGCTCATTGGGCAGTGGCACAACAGGGTGTCCTTGAGGAGGGAGATGGGATTCATACAGCTGACCTAGTTGCTCCCAAGCTCTGTGGGGGGGTGGAGGGTGAAGATGATGAGGAGGTGGTCTCTGCTGCTCCCTCTGCAGACCTGGTAACATTGGCTGTGGGAGCTCAAGCTTCTCACTTCCTCGCATGGGTCTGGACAGCCCCAAAAATAAAAAAAAAAGTGAAAACAATATTACAACAAACAAACAAAAAAACAGATCTAAACGACAACACAAGCTTGCTTCATCGTGTCATTTGCTGAAAACGAATTACTCTCTGCTTTCTAAATTTAGTTCTTTCGCTGATGATTCTGTGCATGACTTACCCATTACTGAAGAATTTACTGGGATGGTTCAGTCCACCCATGGGACCAGGAGGTAGATGGGAAAGGAGCTGGTGTTGGTTCATTCCAGGTGAACACCTGATGACACACAGTACAGTCAGATGACTTTTTCTAGCGGTTTTTACACTATGTTTGTAAAGTACATTCAATGGTTTACTTCAGTTTGGCTGTAAAAACTGAATTAAAGGCTGTAGCTGATGGATTAAAGTTGGAGAGGTTTGTAAAAGTTTGTTTGTATATGTTGTCATGGCCACAGACCTGGCAGATGGCTGCCAGGCGCGGCCGCCCACAGGAGCCCATGGTCCCCGGTTGAGTCCGTCCAGAGAGAAGGAATCCCGTGTGCCACGCCCGCCAAACTGCTCTACTGCGTGATGCATCCAGCCTGTGGATGATAGCGACACCATTATGTAGCTACTCACATTTTTTCATACAGAAAAAAACAATGTGGAGTAGCAGGATAATCAAAGCTGCTGAAATTCAATTTGTATTCATTTAAAAAATGTGAAAATGACCCGAAGCTTATCATTGAATACCTCTATGTGTTGCTGTTATAAAGCACCAATATCGTTTCAATGTTATGGCCTTCATGTTGGCTTTGTGATCAAATGACAAACTTGTCATTATGCAACAAGGTTATTGCTAGTTAGCTCATCAGAATTATAGGCTGTACCCAAAGTTAATGAATTTAAAAAATTTTCATCACTACTCTAACTTATTTATTCGAAATTGCATTCTTGAATTTAAACATATTTCCACATGTATTGCTACATATTTCTATAAACTTAAGTCCTTTTTAAAGGTTATATAATAGCAGTATGCACTGTGTATCATAAACTCACAACACAACGTCTGTCGTTGAGTGTTATTAAAGTCAATAAGAGAGCTGCTACTCACCAGACTAGCTGTATCTGTGAAGCCCTCCACTGCAGCACAGAGAGGGCCTCACTCCAACACTGAGAATATCTGTGCTGTCCGACTCCTCAGTCTTAAGCACCAGGAACCCAAAGCCTGTTAACTACAGAGAGAGAGAGAGAGAGAGAGAGAGAGAGAGAGAGAGAGAGAGAGAGAGAGAGAGAGCCACTATGAAAATGAGCGAGACACATTGAAAAGTCAATAAATGCCAGTGGGCTCTCTATTGAATAGGCTTGTTGGTGCATGTATATGTGTACGTTGGAGAGCAGAGAGGGGAGGGTGTAAGTAGAATATAGGGCAGGGGAGAGCTTCCTGCGACTACAGGGACAACCTGCACAAAACCCTTAATTTACATCTTTATTCTCACCACTGGAATCTCCTGATTCTGCTCTAGTTTGGTTATTTCCCCCAGCAACATGAGAATAAGTTAAATTCTCTTGAAGTCTTAAATGATGGTGGATGTCTTTGTCTGTAGCTGGCTGCTATGAGTCAGTCAGCCTGTAGGAGGCGCCAGTAAGCCGGTCTGCACAGAACAGGATTATTACCGAGGCCCAGATGGCTCAGTGGGGAGCTCACCTATGAGGACAGACCTGGGGTTACTGTAATCCTTACCATGGGCCTCCTGATAACAAGAGACAGAGGGAAAGACTAATAGTGAGAGGCCTTGGTCACATGCCAAGTGTGTGTGGTGTTGGAGGCAATGCCAAGTGTGCAAACTGCATGGTCGTGTCAGGCTTGTGCTGATTTAGTGCATGCGAGAGAGAATGGTGTGCTCTCTTAAGTGGATAATTGTGTGTTGTGTGCGCTGCAGCACTCAGAAGGGTGTGTGCATAAAGTGTGCGTGCACGTGCATGCCCAGTGGATACACTAAGGTTTAATCTCATTACGGCAGGCGTGATGGAGAGGGAGAGGGGGGCAGCAGCGACAGACGGTCTGAACAGGATGGAAAGATAGATTAAGGGGAAAAGATGGAGAGCAGGGAAGGGATGGAGGGAGGTGGAGTGGAGTGGAGAGTAGGAACGGTGCCATGAAAACGCCCACACACCTTCCCACACAGACACACACACACACACACACACACACAGGGAGACGACACAAAGGAAAGTGGTTGAGGGGAAAACACATAAAAGAAGCTGAGAGATAACTCCCTCCCCTCCCTGCTTTTTGAAACACCACACACACACACACACACACACACACAAAAGACAGAAGCTGTCAAGATACAAAGAAGTCCGTGTCTCAAAGTACCTTGATTAAAAAAAAAGAGACCCCTAACAAAACCTGAGAGGGATGTATTCGCACCTACGCATTCACCACTGTTGTTACAAACAAGTCTTAACACATGAAATCAACTAAATCCAAATGTTTTATCATCTCTGTTAAAATGATTGTTGGATAAAAACGAATCTTCCAAAAACAGCAATATCCTCAATCTCCTGACTACTTTACTCTAATTTGGATGACACCAATTTAAAGGTGACAAGACCATGAGACAAGGATATTTGATTTGTGTCACAGTGGGAGAGAAACGTAAAAGTAACAAGTTCAGTGGCAAGAGAAATGAAACATGGAGCGAGAGAGAGAGAGACATGCACACAGAGGTTATGATTCATTTCTCTTGCTCAGCACTCTTCCACCAGTTTTCCTAAATTAGCTCTGGCCATCCACGGTCCCTCTTCCCACCAGTTCCTCTTCTCTGCCTTTCTTACTCCCACTAACTCTGGAACTCTCTGTCTCTATTTAAAGTAGGGGATATTTCAATCGCTGGATACTTTTAGCTTGTCAGGAGTGGTGCTGTGCTATGACACACAGACACACACCACCCTCTCTATCGCTTCCCTTCCGATTTGCGATCATCATCCAGCAGGCTCTGCTGCTATGTGAAGATAGGCTGGCGTTCACTGTCAAGGCTGCACACAACATTCTTTAAGACAAACTGATACTAACACACACACACACACACACACACACACACACACACACACACACACACACACACACACACACACACACACACTGGTGCTGAGCATACCTTTTAGAGTAGCACCAAGTTATTGATTCACACTTGTGTTATGTCTCGGCTCCGGCTGCCAATCAACTCTCTTGGGTCTCCTCGACCCTGAAAGACAGAGAAGACAAAACATTCATGTCAAGCTGTCATAAAAACAATGTGAAGCCACATCAAACAATGTACTCGGAGGACTGATGATATACGACGCCTTCATTTAATATAATTCAGGGCGGAGGGTGGTCTTTGCTTTCAATGTGGACCAAAAACCCCTTTGTGCTGCTGCTGCTGCTTCTCCTGCGTCACCAAACCCGCCTGACTTCTGAGGTGACACCTGGTTTCAGAGCACGGTGAAAAACCTGAGGGTGGCGAAGGGGTAAATCAGCAGGGAGGCTGACTCAATGGGAGCGCAGGGGGCTCTTGTTCGCTCACTCTCTTTCTCTTCCCACGCAGACACGACGGTGAGACTAACTGTGCAGCTTAACAGTCGGGCAGACACACAAACAAGGCTGATCTCGCTCTAACAGGAAGAGCTGGGCCAGCAACGTCAACTATCACATGTGAAAGAGCAGCGCTGGGGAAACGGTAAAATAGTTAAACACATGGCATAATGGAGAAAAGGAAAGAGGGAAGGAAAGTGTGACTTTGAAAATAGACAAATGAAGAAAGAGAACTCTAGCAAGAGACCAAGTCGTGACTGGGACAGGGACGCAGTGGCGAAGTTGTAATTACCACTTTTCTACAGAGTGTGTGTTTATGTCTGTTGTGACCAAACGGTCGTCTCTTACAGTTGCTACCCTGGCTATCACATTGCTCACAGCCGCTCTACCAGCACAGTGTGAGAAACTCAGTACCCTGAAACCAGAGCGTGTACACAGACGGCAGACAGTGTTACATACCAGCCTAGGTTCTATCTGATGATACCAAAGTGATGAAATGTGGTTTCACCGGCTATGAGATAGTGTTCAGTACTGTATGTGTATGGAGGAAACAGTGAGAGTGTGTGTGAGCGAGCATTACGTATTACTTTTTTCGGGGAACCCCCCCCGGTGACTCAGCGCCCTGTGAGAGGACTTACCCCAAACCGCTGGCCCTCAACTCCGCCCTCCTGGGACACCACTTACAGTCAGGTGACCGGGGGCGTGTTTCTGCACCGCTTCAAATGTGACAACAGCGGGGAATTCTTGGACTTCGTGATGTCATTTCGGCTTCCTATTCAGTGCGCAGCATGGGTTGAGTGTGTATGTGTGTTTGGATAGACAAACAGGATGTGATGATGAGCTGCGGGGGGTCACGGCCGAGAAAATAATCAAACTTCCAGAGTTATTCAAGCGAAATGACGAGGCAAATTCCTGGAACCTGTCGATCAATCTTTTGATTACCGTCAGGTTGTTGTCAAATCGGAAAAGTTAGAATTTAATTAATACAACTATTATTCAGCTTCAGCATGCTGCACACGCTTTAGTCACTTTCACCTCAATCTAACCACAACAAGCTGTAGTGTTTCTCTGTACAACAGAGTACAGTCAGTGAAGTCATTTAAGGACTTTTGTTACCGTTTTGCTCGTCTCCTCAGTGAAAGTATACACAGCTGACATATCCATCAATTTATACCAAACAGATGACGCAATTCACCGTCAAAAATAGCCCCACGGTACATCTTCAAGTACAATCTCACACTGACACAAGACATCAAAGAGCTGCTCATGTCAACACACTCCCTCACTCAAAATAAAGGAGCACCTTGTGGCATCTAAAGAAAACACACAAACTAAATAAATGAATCCACCATGATCCCATGTGACACAAAAACCAGAGGCATACACTTGTGGCTGTGCACGGGGAAACTTGCGTAGTCACTACTAACAAATGGCTGAAATGAAGATGTTTAGATGACGTCTGTCTCTGTGCAGTAGACTTTAATTTATTCACCCACACTCCTCCCTGTCAACTACTGGCCTGCTCTGGTCCCCTGCTAGACAACCACACTGAGGCCATGAGAGGAACATAGAGGGGACGCAGTAACTGCAAAAAAAACCTTCTACTTAGTGGTGGTAATCAATATTACGGGTAAACATACAGTGTGCTGGAGTGACTATATGACAACCCCCCCCCCCTGAGGATGAGACCACTGACAACTAACAGGCAGCTGGGGAGTGTTACTGTCCTGGTGAAGTCACTGTAGAGTCTCTCTTATGAGAAATGACCAGATAAGGCTGGGAGAAGTGGCAGATAACAGAAAACTAAGCGAGGGAAAAGTTCTGGCAGCGATGACTTTCTGGCAGAGAACGAGGGAAAGGCCATGCAAGGTCCTGTCTCCGTCCCTCTCTCTCTCCATGTCTCGTTCTGTCCTCCCTCGCCCTCTATAGAGCATTTGGTCATTACATAACCACCCCAGCTAGATGCATTTCTCTCTCTCTCTCTGACACACACAGAGGAACACCCAGCCTCTGCATCCGTCCCCCCCTCAGCTCGTTGCCAGGCCCCCGTGTGTGTGTGTGTGTGTGTTTATTTGTTTGTGCATGTGCAAACGTCTGTGCATGCTGTTCCGTGACGGCGATGCAGTCTAACTTCATCACATCCACATCCTTACACAATTACACACACACACGCGCGCATGCACACGCACAGAGAAAATCCGAGTTGCTCCAGCCATCACACACAGGGCAGGGTGGGTCAGCCGAGGACACGGCAAGCAAACACTGTTCCTGCACACTAACACTGAGGCATCCGACCTCCATGACGGACGATTATCTCCTGCAAGCATCCAACCAAACAACACAACCCTCCTTTCAGGGTGAGGAGCTCTGACCGAACCTTTCACCCAGTTATACCCAGAACGTCCACGCTCAGCAGCATGCCAGCACACCATAACAGGCCAGATAAATGCTCTTATTTGTCTTACTTTGGCTCCTCTGGCTTATATGTGCACTCCCTCACATCTGCTCTACATCCAGGCCAACGCACGGGGGGAGGAAGATCAGAAATATTCACATTTTGACTGCTGGGTTGCTGCTTCCAATATCAACATTTAGTCGATTTGGAACCACAGCGATAAGCTTTAGGTTAGCAACTACTGACAAAACACAGTCTTGTTTTGGCTGTTGGTGTCACCTGTCGACCAGACCTGATTTCCGACCCTTAGTGAAACACTTATGAGAAACAGTTGCCCTACATTTTTATCTGTTAGTGAAAAAATAAACAGGACGAGGAGGAAGGGGGCTGGTAGAAAAACATGAAATCAAGAGGCCCCATTTGTCTGCTGCAGTCACCACACTGACATCTGGGCCTGTGAATGATAACACACAACTGGGTTAGTGTGGCGCATCGCCGTTTCTCACTCACAGATCAGATGCACGTGTGTGTGTGACGCTAAAGAGAAGGGGAACAGAGCTCGAAGGGGAGAGGAAGCTCTCGTCACAACCGCAGGAAGTAGGCCTCCCTAAGGGGTGTGTGTGTGTGTGTGTGTGTGAGAGAGGCCATAAGGGGGCGGGGGCAGGGGGTTTGAAGGCTGAGGCTTCCTGTTGCAAAGATATGAAATGTATGTGTATTTTAGTGCAGCCGCAAAATCTTTCTGATTCTAACGAAATAGATGAAAGTGATCTTATGTGACTTATGTGACTTATGTGAAACGAGGAGAGTCAATTCAGAAACCCGGTCAGTTTCACTCCTAAAATACACCTCAGACACACAGTCATCCTGCGTGAACGGCACATGTGGCCAACTCATGACTAACACAAGCCTCGTCAACACAAGCGAGACAGTCAACTGACTTTAAAGCCACTTACTTGCCTCGGACCCTGGGTGTTAAGTGAAAAGCCTTGTCTGCTCTTTTTTTAGCTTCTGGTAAAAGAGAATGACATATGATGGCAGTGTGTGTGTGTGTTGTGTGTGTGCGCGCTGGATAACCCCTCCCAGTTACTTGTGCTCCCCGCTTCATTCTCACAGGAACTCTTTGTTACAGAGGAAACATCAGTCTGGATTTCTCGACACACTTGTGTGCATGTATCCGTCTGTCTTGAGGTGCTTTGTGCGTGTGCGAGACAGAATAAAAGAATGACTCAACACCTAGCTAGTAACTCTAAAGAAAGGAAAATGGCGTGTAAATCCCGACAAACCGGAAATCTAAGAGGATGTGGGCGACAACTAACAACTGACGGTGACTTGATTGTCGTCACTCTCGATTTCCACACTTGAGCAACCTCAAAAGCCCCCAAACATTTCTGTTTCTGGGTGATGATTTCCAATAACAAATCGAAGAAAAGCTCAGGACGAAACAGATCTTCATACGGCCTCTTTTCATAGAAAAAACCTCCCCAAAGTCAGAACTGCAAAATCCCCCTCCCTCCTCCCTCCAGGTGATTCTATTCCACACACACACTGACTAGCTCAGAAATGCACTAAACAAGACAAGAGACTCTGCTCCCTTGGTAACAGTTGCCAAGGGAACCGATATGGCGTCTCCACAAACAGTTATTAAAGTAAGCTAGAGAGGCAGCGATGGACGGAGAGGAATTCATATTATGGTTCATAAGAGGTCTTTACTGATCAACATGTTTACTGAGCTACAGGCAGGCTGACCTCATCCTCTTCCTCCATGGTCCACAACATAATGTCTCATCAGCCGTCCTGTGTGTGTGTGAATAACAAAAAAACAACATGGACATGTGTGTGTGAGGCCTATCTGCATCAGAGTTAATGACGGCGTGCGCACAAAGTGGGTTGATTACACACGGATCATTTCGGACTTTATCAGAACAACTGTGACGCAGACTGAGCGCTGTGTGCTCATTCAGTCCAGAGGCTCCAAGGCCTGTTTATAGATTCCTCAGATAACAATGTTGTACATCTTCTCTACCATGATGCACTCAGGCCTACTCGCTGGCTGAGTTATCATTTATTTTGGTCGCGGTGGGTAATAGTAGTCACAGGCGGTGAGGGGAGGTAAAAAAAAAATTAAGGAAGGAAGAAAATTCTTTCCACGGCGTGCGAGTGTGTGTAACTGTGTGTATGAGTCACACACACACACACACACACACAGTGTGTAGGTTTGCACCCTTTCCACCGTGGCGTCATCATCATCAATGGCAAAGAGCCAGAGATAACAGAGAGGAACTACTCAGAGGGAAAACTTTCCCTTTTTCTCTCACTCGGCTGAATAGGCAAACAGGATGTAAACACCCCGTTACTCTCTTACGCAGCTCTATTTCATCTTGAGACATTATGCTTCTGTTTTCTAGTATCATTTTTGAGTCTCTGTTCAAAAGGCTGCCATGTTTTACATCAGTTTATTTGCTTGGCCTGAGGCTGCCATTGAATAAGTTCAGTCTTTAGCTTCTGGACTGAACAATACTGATCTGTTTTTCCCTTATTATTCTCAGGTCTAAAACACAGTCCAGAACTGCATATAGAACTTATATTTATAGTAATGGATTCGTAGTATTAGTAGTATAGTAAGGGTCCTTACTATACTTACTATAACAACTTCCTGTTTTCAGGGGTCTGGCCCACATTTTGAGAAACCGGGATCCGCAGCAGTCAGACCAACACTGCAGTGTAGAATTCCACACTTGGTTGACTGACTTGTTGCCCCCCTGACCAAACTCTAAAGCCCAATCGCCACACTCACCGACTTTGATACGCATTCCAGCAAAGTCCGTGAGGGTTTAGGGCGGTCCCACTGTCAAACCGCAGAGTGTTTGAGGGCTCTCTCGCAGACATTTTGAGAATTACCCACAATTCATAGCAACGTGACGTTAAACAGTAGAAGCTGGAGACGTAAGAAAAAAAAAAAAAAAAGGTAAACAAAGAGGATGGCACATGGGTGTTCAGTCTGGCATATTACATTAACACTAAAATATTAAGGATTAAAGATGGTACATAAAAACAAAGAACGCAAGCAGAAACTATATTACTGGTTTATTCACCAACCATTTATTTTCATTTTGTTATTAAAGCCGTTTTGACAAAAGCGAATAAATAGACTATTTTGACAATTAATCTGGAAAGCCTGGAAGACGTTTAAATCGAGGATTAAAAAGTATAAAATAAATACCTTTAATTGTATATAACATGATATGACATTCGTATAAACACCATTTCAAGCTCTTACAGTCTTTCACACTCAATCACTGGCGACGTCAGATAAGTCCCTGAAGGTTCAGGGTTCAAGGATTAGGGGGACACCGGGCTTGAAGAGGCTGCCTGGACAAGCTCGGCGTGTACTGTACATAATATCTACAGTGTAAAAAGGGGAAATTTGAATATGCCCCTTTACATGTTCAGTGTCTCCGCTGACATGAAGGGTCGGGAAATTCCTCAACTGGTTTCCAACCATTGTGGCAGCTCACACGTAGAAGAACTTGTGTTTTAACGCCTGACCTGTTGGGGTGTGTGGGGAGTGTTTGAGAAACCGTCAGCAGGGCAGATGTTGTCCTGCACCTCCCTTATTTCCCTCTCTCTCGTTTTGAGTTGCTGGAGGAGAAATGACACCCTTTACTGGAAAGGTTGCAACAGCCCGGTGTCACACAAACAGACACTTCATTATGACACCCAATCACTTCCCCCACCTGCTTCTCTTTGAAACACACGCACGTATGAACACACACACACACACACACACACACACACACACACACACACACACA